AGGTCCCTGCCAACCCCTACTATTCTGTGATTCTGTCTCAGCGGTAGGTGAAGGCGGAAGCGTCTCTGCTTCCCACCGGCGCGGGGAACCCGAGCGTGGTCGTTGGCCGTGGAGAAGTACGTGGCCCTGCGCAGGGCTGGGGGTGGCGACGGCTGGTGGTTATCCAGAGCAGCTTACAAAAGGGCTTTTTGTGCAAAGGAACAGGCGTTCTTCCCCCCTGCCTACAGCCTCCATCACTTGATAGCTCTGCTGACAAAAGCCGACAGAAGCTGTGGCACCCGACCGTGGTCTGCAGCTGGGTCGCGCAGCCTGGCAGCTGAGCCCGAGATCCTGCGTCCGGGCGTAAGCCAAGAGCAGCACGTGTGAAGCAGGGGCGGGGGGATCCCTCACAACCGTGGAGTTAAAGACAGCGAGGGCCCCTTGGTGTCTATATTCAGCGTGCGCCTGTCTTCCCAGGCACTCGTTCTTCATGGCCACGGAGGAGGCCACCAGCACGCCGTGTCACAGCAGCGTAGGAGGTGTCCTCAGGACACCCGCCGGGGTCCCGCACTTTGGATCTTCGCCGCAAATGGTCTCAGCCTTCAGCAAAGGACAAGGACGATTGTAACAGAGTAAAACAGCTCTACGCCAGTCATAAAAACCTGGGCCTTGATAGACCAAAAAAAGTGTCTCCTTAGACCCGATGTCACCTCACCTCCCATCAAAACGACTCTTCAATCTGCACAAGGTGCTGCAGGACCGCAGCTCCTTGTGCACAGGCGTTCGGGAGGCCACGGTGCATAGCTGGCATGCCACCTCCTCCAGACCCAAGCCCCAGAGCCCAGGAGACTCGCTCTCCTCCAGGGGAAGGCCAGGGCTGGCTACTCCACAGATGACTCAACGAGACTTGGCAGAGGCCAGCGGCAAGCCCCCTGCGGCGGTGATTCATGGGACGAGCCAAATCGAACTCGGGTGGAGGAGCCAACACAACTTTTCCCAAACAAGCTGAAGCTTCTCCTTTCTTTTCCATCATGAAGACAAGTCTGAAGTAGCTTCTGATAAAGCTAGAAAGAGACAGGGCTGCAGCACACGGGTACATGAATAAAATTAGATTGTATTAGGAAAATAACCTTCTCCCCTGTCAAGACCTCTTACAACTGTCCTCATCACCATGGAATTTGAGTGCCTTCCAAGAAGTGTATTAATCAACATGGATTTCATTTGTCATGAGGAGGTCATTCACCCTCCCGCAGGGTCTAATTTGGCCTGGAGAATTCAGTTTATCTGCTGATGTAGGGAGAAAAATATTAATAAAAGTTTGACTTTCAAACCTTGCTCGTGTGAAAGAATCGTGTCTTTTCCATTTACAGCAGTTGGGCTGAATTCCTTCCCCAAGCCGACGACGAGCATGTCCAATGACTTCATGCTACGGTTTTGCGCTCTACAGCGTTACAGCCGCCCAGCTGGCCAACTCATAAATGCAGCATAAAGGAAGCAATACATTAAAATCTTCTTTACTGGATTAAAGTTTGATCTGGACTAATGAGCAGCCAGTCAGGAAGTTATTTTCTTCATTAGGGTATTGTTTCAGGAAAAGCAAATTATAAACCAGGATGCTCTCAAGGATAAACGGAAGCGAGTAGCTTACCTGCTTTTGCATGGGGAAAATCATAGAACCACAGAACGGTTTGGGTTGGAAGGGACCTTAAAGATCACCTGGTTCCAACCCCCCTGCCATGAGCAGGGACATCTTCCACCACACCAGGGTGCTCAGAGGTCCATCCAACCTGGCCTTGAACCCTGCCAGGGAGGGGGCAGCCACAGCTTCTCTGGGCAGCCTGGGCCAGGGCCTCACCACCCTCACGGTGAGGAATTTCTTCCTAATATCTCAACTAAATCTGCCCTTTTTTAGTTTAGAGCCGTTCCCCCTTGTCCTATCACTATATATCCTTCCCCTTCTTCATCCAGTTGCATTCTCCTACAGGCACAACCACGACCAAATTTCCCGCTGATGGAGGCAGACGGCAGAAGTCCTTCAGGGAAGCAGTCCTCCAGGAGCCAACCACCCCGGGCCAGGCCATATCTAGACAGATGCAGAGTAACACGACTATATTCTGTGGGGATCTTCCTTTTCCAGTGAGGTCGTGCACTTCAGCCTTTCTTTTACATCGTTCTTACAACTGGGTTTCCATGGCGACCTTTCCAGTGTCCGGTGACGAGAGCGCGTGTCCACGCAAACCACATCTGCTCAAGCCCCATCACTGCCTAACACGGCAGATCTCAAACTTGAGACTGGTTCTCCACAGAAAGAGCTGTGAAAACTTCCACCAAGAACCAGAGGACTTACCATGCTGTTATAAAAGGTCCATCAGGATGGAAAACAACAGGTAGAACTAGTGGAAACGATCATCAAAGAGGAAACGGAAGGTGTTTCTGAAGGGCAAACAAGCCTCTTCAAGGAACCTTTCACAGCATAAGGTGGCTTTTTTACACCCCTTTTCCCAGCCTTTGTCCACCTCACCCACCCATCCTTCCATCACGCTTCTCCCTTGAAGCTCAGTTCGTAGACAGTACATCTACCTGCAATCCCAAGCCAACGACCAGTCATCGTATTTATTTGATGAGGAACAAGGTACAAACGAACAACGATCAAAGCTGCTTTCAGTTTCTAGAGACACCTCCAGAGGCAACTGCGCTGCCCTCTCCCAGCGCTTGAGATGGCAGCCGCGGCAGCTGGCCTTTGGGTGGGACGCCAACACGCCTTTGGCTTCCCCACAGAAATCATTGTGTGGGGTGGGCATGGCAAATGCTGGTCAAAGAATGCTTCTGATTAACTCAGAAGAAAAACCTGCTCCTGTAGGGTTAAAAAAAAAAACCTAGTTCTGCCTTCTTGAAACTTCCAAAGATTTGCAGAACTTACCCTAAAAGTCTTTGTGTAGCGGTGGGTTAAGAAGAGACGGCTCCATGCTGGAATCAACACAAGACAAGCCTAACTTCCCAAGTTTTCAGAAGGAAGATGTGCATGAAGGAACCGATGACTCCCAACGTCAACAGCCCCCTTCCATCAAACTATAAACCCAGGATGCTTTGCACCAAGCACAAGCTTTATCTGACCCGATGACAACACGGAATGGTAGCGGAATGGGCGTGAGCCAGCTTCACCAGCATCCCTCACGAAGAAATGGAGCAAAGGATGGATGGTAACGCTGCCGGAGACCTGCCTCCTCTCAACCTGGCCACGTGGGACCTGACTGTGGGAAGTTCTGAGAACTTGCAGCTCCTCCCAATTCCATCTGGAATCACAGGTGCTCACTCGTCCGGGGAGAAAAGTCAAACCACCCCACGCTGTTCCTCCACAAACCTGTCTTCCCCTCTGTGTGCAAAGCAGAGTTTGCTTTACACTATTTCAGCACGCAGGGTGTAAACTCTTTGTGCAGCCCCAGACCAGCGTAAAACATCCAAGCACAATCTTCAGCTCACGCATTCTGATAGATCAAAGCGTGCCCGACCAGAAAGTTTTTAACAAAAGCAAATACTTCTTCACTAGCAAAGGAAAAACGCTACAACTTTTCACCACCAAACGAGGAAGCGCAGCAAGTTGTCGCTAAAGCTCTCGGGCTGCAGCTCTAACAACTCGCAGAGTGACAGCGACCGTTCAGTTACTTTGGTAGTCAGCAGACATTTTTTAGCGAGGTAAAACATAAAAACAAAAACACGCAGCAGCTCTTCCTTTGTTTTGAAAGGTTTTACAGCGTGTAGTTAGGTCTGTAATGAGTGGTGTCCCTCAGGGGTCAGTACTGGGCCCAGCCTTGTTCAACTCCTTCATCAATGACCTGGATGAAGAGTTCGAGTGCACCCTCAGCCAGTTTGCTGATGACACCAAACTGGGAGGAGTGGTGGGTACACCGGCAGGCTGTGCTGCCATCCAGAGAGACCTGGACAGGCTGGAGAGTTGGGCAGAGAGGAACCTGATGAGGTTCAACAAGGGCAAGGGCAGGGTCCTGCCCCTG